AAGCTCATAAACACGTCTGAGAAGAGACATTGAGGCTCACTCATCATGACAAACAGGTAGAGTGAGATGACAGATTTCAATCCTTCCATACACTTGAGGGCTTACTGAGGGCATGAGTACAGTCCTACGTCCCAAGAATTGAGCAGCCTTGGCTGGGGGGTGATCTCTGCTGATTTCCCTTCCGAGGAAGGTGCTGGCTTCCTTCATTACACTTCAGTAATCTCTTTTTAATTACTTGCCTCCTCTGTGTCCCCAGAGGGAAGGGATGACTGGTGTCCTAATAATGAGCTTAAGCGATGCTTTATCCGGCCCTATCACTTCTGACCTTTCTTCCCTCCTGGTGAAGAGCCTGGAACTAAGCTGTAGCAGGCTCAGTGATAAAAACCTCAGTTTCCCTCCACCCCCCCCAATCACATAGGATGGGGGTCCCCAGTCATTCTTTGTGGCCCAGAGCAAGGCACCTATGCCCTGAAAAAGCTCCCAGGTGCTGGTGGGTGGCTCTGTCCCTGCTTCCTGCTCCAACTGCTGAGTAAGCAGGACAAGGAACACACACACACATATGGTTCCTGTGCTATGGTTCCTTTGACAGGGCCTTATGATCCTTCGAGCCTGTGGCCCCTGGCTCAGCTTGACACCCTGGGAAACGACAACCTTCTACTTCATCCAGGCTTAAGTGCACACCTCTCAGGCAGGTGTTTTCAGGACCCTGGGGGGAATCAGGGGTGGGGTGCAGCTACCTCTCTTCTGCATCCTCCTAGACCAGTCTCACTGTGGTACAGGTACATTCATCCCTAATGAATGGAGGTGTACAGGGGGTGGCAGCAGCCACCTCACTCCATGGGCCATTCTTCCAGAACCCTCATGGAGTATTGGGCAAAGCGTGTCTGGAGGTGAGGTTGACCCTTGTAAAGAGAACACGTGACAGCTGCTGTGAGGAGCTCCAAGTAGAGCCTTAGTGGCGCCTCCCAACCCTGTGAGTCCCATGTGAGGACATAATGGCGCCCGAGGTGGGACGCCTGACCACTGAGGTACAAGGCTCTGCCTCTTCCACATTTGTCCTCCACGGGTCTTTTGTTGTACAGACTTGGACGCTTCCACCCTAAGCCTGGCACACCTGTGACAGCCTTTCCTAAAGACCTCACACCTTTATCCATACACCAATGACTCCACACCAACAGGTTCTTCCGTCCAACTGTGCACCCTGATCATTCCTAACTGTCTCAGGAAAGGCCCCTCCCCGTTGAGTCTCCCTCTCATACAATTCTGATTCCAGCTTCCCACTCGTTTTGCAGTACACTCTAGCATCAGGCATGTGACCTAGCCCTTGTTCACTGTCCCCTGGGCTGGAACGGGCACTCTGGAAGGCAGGGACCACACACCAGGTGATTTGTAATTTCCTGTAACTCCAGGGGATCTAACAACTCTGGCCTTTCTAGACAGCATGTATACACACACCCCAGACACATACAAATAGATATAATCTTTTTTAGATTAAAAATAATTATAAAAGGAATTGTAAGATTTCTCAAAACCTCTAGCAGACCCCAAGCCCTGTTGTACATAGTCTTCCTGGAAAGACCCATGCAAAAAGGATGGAGAGAAGCACCCTGTCTCAGTTAGGACTTCTACTGCTGTGAAGAGACATCATGACCAAAGCAAGTCTTACAAAGGAAAACATTTAAGGTCTGGCTTACAGTTCAGAGGTTTAGTCGATTGTTATTATGGTGGGACATGGCAGCATGCAGGCAGACATGGTGCTAGGGAGGGAGATGAGAGTCCTGATCCATAGGTAACAGGAAGTGGTCTGTCTCACTGGGTGTAGCTTGAGCCTATGAGACCTCAAAGCCCACCCCCATAGTACCACATTTCCTCCAACAAGGCCACACCTCCTGTTAGCGCTACTCCCTTTGGGGGGCATTTTCTTTCAAACCACCTCACACCCCAAAACAGCCACTCTGCTGAGTGGACAGTCTCAACTCTTCCCTTTAAAGTAATGAATTCAAGCTAACTAGTGTATGATGGACACATGTGGCTTCCACAGATGTTCCCTAAAGCCATGAGTATTGTCCACATTCAATCACCTGAGACTTTAAAAGAAAATGTTGATTTCATATGATGCAATCTAATACAGACAATTGTTTAAAAAAAAAAATCTTATAGGAAGTTGCTTTCAAGATCAATGAAGATATCCCTGACCTTTGATCTGGGCATTTTTGTTCTGGGAGTCTTTCAAATGCAGACATACAGGGTCTGGGGAGGGGGCTCAGTAGATAAAGAGCTCATCATGCAAGCACAATGACCAGAATTGGGATTCCAGCACCCACGGAGAAACCGGGCGGGCACCTTCCCAAGCCAGCACAATTCCTAACTGCACTCCAAACATTTATCCCTAGACCCGCAGGTGAGTGCCACAGCTCTCACGCCTCATCTGAGAAGCTCCTTCTGCAGCGGACAGAGACCGTTAAAGATGGAGACATCATGGATGGGGACATCACAGAAAGTCAGAACTGGTCAAAATGCAGAGAACAGATGACCGCAGGGTGTCCAGTCCCAGCTGATCTACCTACCACCCAACCCCACTCCTGAGACTTGGGAAACACTGTGTGGAAGGGAGGGCTAAAAGCCAGAGACCCGGAAGTCTGCGGGGAGTCTGTGTCTTTTAGCTGTGACGGTGGGGTGGCAGCCATGATAGCTCAAAAACACAGTTGCCTAAACAATGACATCGGTGGACATGCCACGGTGGATGGGGGTGGACATGCCACGGTGGATGGGGGTGGACATGCCATGGTGGATGGGGGACTCCCACAAGGCTCCGCCCCTAGGTGAAGAGGTACAGGCAATTAATGACTGCTAAGAGAAGGAGAACCAGACTTCTCCAAAGATGAGCCCCCTGATAGGTTGTCTAGCCCCACGTGGTCAGCCCTAAACAATATGCACGTACAGGGCCACACCAATTGGACTTGTGGTGGTTTGAAAGAAAATGGCTCCCACGGGGAGTGGCGCTATTAGGAGGTGTGGCCTTGTTGGGGGAAGTGTGGCCTTGTTGGAGGAAGTGTGTCAAACGCACTAAAAACAGAAAAAAGCCATCTTCAAAGCAGGGCAGAGGCATCGGCTTGGAAGCCGCCTTCCTTGTGGGGAGGAGAAGCAGGAACATGCCTTGGTGGAGGCGGTCTGTCCACCTCACCCAGTCAACAGTGAGGAAACACCCAGGAAGCACCCAGGGATGAGCCAGCCCACGGCACTCTTACAGTGACAAGTCACTGTCACTGTGGGGGGGTCGCATGACTGCTGCCTTTTCCGAAATCTGAACAACAAACAATGTATTTCTTATAAGCATAATCACAGTGGAGAACAATGGCCACCGGATGTGGAGAGCAAAATCCTGCCACAGACCAGGAGGTCTTTGCGACTTATAGACGACAAGGGCCTGAAATGTCTGCGGCCTGACTTCGAGAACACCAAGGCAGAGGTTAATGTGGCTGAAAGCACAGAGGGCTGGCGGGGCCGGGGAGCATCAGGAAGCCTGGTGTGCACTGCACAGCCCACCTCAGAGACTGCAGACAGCATCAGAACCAGTGGGCATTTCACGTGGAGCAGCAGTGTGTGCATACCCCCATGCATGCTTGTACATGCGTGTTTATACGCATGAGTCACATGTGCGTGTGTGTGTGTGTGTGTGTGTGTGTGTGTGTGTGTGTGTGTGTATATGTATGTGTGTCACAGGGGACAGGCACAGAAGCTAGTGCTTTGTCTATCATGGAGGAAACCCAAGATGGCCTACATGCTCCCAGCAGAGGAACACACACACACACACACACACACACACACACACACACACACACACACA